TTACACACACTGCATGGGGCCCTGGATGGGAAGCACGTCCGTATGAAGAATCCCGAAAAAGCTGGATCAATGTACTACAATTACAAGAATTTTTACAGCATAATTCTTCTGGCCTTAGTAGATGCAAACTATAAATTTCTGTATGTATCAGCTGGTGCACCTGGTCGAAATGGTGATGCTGGTATTTTTGGGGATTCGACTCTGAAAGTTGGACTAGACAATGCTTTGTTAAATGTACCAGCTTCTGGCAAACTTAATGGTTCAAGTGATCTGTGCCATTATCACATTGTTGGTGATGACGCATTCCCACTTGGTGCACATATGATGAAGCCGTATCCACACAGAAACTTGGACAGGGATGTTGTTTTGTTCAACTACCGCTTTAGCCGTGCCCGACGAGTTGTAGAAAATGCCTTTGGCATATTAGCAGCCAGATTTAGGGTGTTCCAGACTCTAATCGAGCTGGACCCATTAAAGGTGACTAAAATGCTGATGGCATCCTGTTGTTTACACAACTTCCTTGTTGAGATACAGGCACCGTTGTATGTATCGTACTTGGTAAACAGTGATGGGCAACTAGAGCACAGCGGTGTCACATTGTTAACAGCTCTTAACAGCACTACGATTAGGAACCCAAGAGTAAGTGCAAAAAATCAGAGAGATGCTCTAAAAAAGTATTTTCTATCACCGGAAGGCTCTGTCCCTTGGCAGGACAGAGTTGTTGAAAAAAAACTTGCTACCATTAGCACAGAGATTCCAGATTGAAGTATGTTACATGTTGGATAAGATTTGAGGAATAAAGGAAAAATAAAATACATGTACATGTACAATAAGTTTTCTTGTGTATTAACTTACCGGTACTTGATATGTTGATGTTGCCGCTTTTGATGTTGTCATATGCAGCTTTAGAAAGTGGAGGTGTTCCACCACCCACTGTCTTTTAGCTGTCATATTTGTACGTCGGCTTCCACTAGGCTGTTTTGTGGCCAATATTTTTGACAGCATTGTCCGCAAGGTTCTCATGCACTTTTCAGCCTCATTCACTGCAAAACATTAATATGCGTGGAATTGAAAACGGCAAATTTTTGAGAAGGTCCTGATCCAACATCCCTGCCTACCACTGTTTCGGCTGTATGAACACATCTTGTACTGAACCCAGGCTACTAGAATCGCCACCAATCCACCATCAGAGTCACACGCAGAAGACGTTACGATGAGGCGCTGTCGCTTCCGCGCAACCTTGTTGTTATAAACGAGGCTAAAGTACCGTGTATCGTGCTACACGGCACGCACATGTAATGTATGCGCACACGCACGCACGCACATATATACATACACGCACACGCGTGCGTGCACGAAGCACGCCACCAGAGCCGCACTCTTTAAACGTGTCGCTGCGTTCACCCATACAAACGCAAATGAGGACAACAATCTCATCCCCCCAACACCCTGACTAGACCAGAGCTAGCACCAATATGCGTTAGATACAAGAAACGTAGTTTTAACGGTAAATGTGTCGCACAGTGTGATTGGTTCGCTAGAGACGCCCCTCAACAGCCAGCTGCTACGACGACGTAGGGGATTTAACACCCCAAGTTTGATGCTTTTGTCAGCTCTGTAACGATCATGATGTTACGGGACCTGACTACCAGGGAGACATCTAGACCTTATGAGCAATATTATTATTACAATTCAATTTATTATTAATATTTGTTCTGAATTCTCCTCACTCTTTCTTAGATTAGAATGATGTCTTATCCTACCATCTGC